TAAGGTTGTGTTTACGAACTTTCAACGAAACCGGATAAGTCAAAAATGACATAATGCCCAGAGGGTAGGTCATTAGATCGCTCATTTACAAACCCCAAGTTATTCGGATACCGACCGGAAGTTCCATCACTCGAAAAGTATGCTGTTATAGACCTTTCAAGTAAACAAAAACACTTCACAGTCACAGACGATACAGCATGCTGTTCTGTTAAGCCATGCGATCTTTCTGAATGTGTATACTTTGCTGACCTCTGCCCAACAAGGCAATTCAACAATGAATTACCTCGCCTTGCCTACGCTCAAACTCCAACCAATTCTAAAAAACCCAGGCCTTAGATACTAGAGCCTAGGCCAACTGGAAAAATCACAAAAAAACAAAGAAAAAAAAAATAGCCTACGGACTTACTACTACTTCTAGTTCCACTGGTGTTCAGAGCCGACAACGACGTGTCAACAGTGTGTGGCGGACAAGAAATGGGTCTTATCGCCAAAAATTTTGTTCATCATCTCAAAATACGGCCATTCTGTTGGGGGGTTTCCAGACTTTCCCCAGGGTGTATTTTTTATGATAGAATAGAATACTAAATGCAAGTACCTGCGCAAAAAAATACACCCAGGAAAAGGACTCCAACGGGAAGTCAGGAAACCCCCCCCCCACAACAGAATGGCCGTATTTTGAGATGAACGAAATTTTTGGCAATAGACCCATTTCTTGTCCACCACACACTGTTGACATGTTGTTGGCTCTGAACACTAGTGGAACTAGTAGAAGTACAGTAGTAGTAAGTCCGTAGGCTATTTTTTTTTTCTTTGTTTTTTTGTAATTTTCCCAGTTGGCTAAGAATTTCCAACGCCTGGGTTTTTTTAGAATTGGTTGGAGTTCGAGCGTAGGCAAGGCGAGGTAATTCATTGTTGAATTTCCTTGTTGGGACGTGAGGCCTATACCTTCTGTCCGTATCCGAATAACTTGGGGTTCGTAAACGAGCGATCTAATGACCTACCCTCTGGGCATTGTGTCATTTTTGACTTATCCGGTTTCGTTGAAAGTTCGTAAACACAACCTAAGTGTGGCATATCTTAAAATATTGTTTTGCTTTACCAATTAACAGGTACTTGGTTGTCTATGCACATGCTTGGTAAGTCAATGTGTACAGCGTGTGGCATATCTTAACATGAATGTAGGCAAAAATGGCCCCGGTAAAAATGGCCCCGGAAAATTGGCCCAGGAAAAAATGGCCCCGGTAAAAATGGCCACGGTCAAAATGTGTACTGAGAGATTATCAGAAAACAATAGCAATTGAATAACATTTTTTGATAGTAGAAATAAAAGTTTTGAAAAACGTTATTCCACTAACAAAGTAGAGGAATGACATACATACAGTACTTCAACTACCAACTCATAGATAACCACAAAATTCACTTTTGTTAAGTATCAAATGAAATAACTTTACATGTTATAAACAATGCAAATAAACAGCAATTAAAGCATGTGGATCAATTGTGTGTTTGAATCACAAGTTTATGTATGGGAAAAGAGAATGGCTTACTTTCTCACAAACTTAGCAATAAATGTTCAGCTTAGACTTACTTCAAAGAAGTATTTGTTAATCAAACATTGTTTTCAGTAAACTGAATAATTAGGAATACATTTATTTAAGCAACATATTTAATTCCATACTTGGTTTTTACTCCTCGCCAACTAAATCCAAGTGCCTACTACTGCTCAGAAACCAGTGGCCAAATTTTTTTTTTTGTCAATTTATTATTTTCAAAACTATACTAAATAATGTAAACTGAGATATACTATATATACATAGTTATGTAAATATGGCAATTATGCTAAGAATTAAAATGGCGTGTAAT